GCTTCGTTCGGAGGCTGCAACATCGCACCCATGCAGCAGGCAGTTCTAGCTTGTAGCACGGGTAGCCAGAATTGCTCCTGCCTCGCATGGTCCTGCGTTGCTGTAAGACCCCCTGTTGTACGGAAATCTGGATAGAGACAGACCTATGAAATATGTATAGATCATGATGATTCGGCGGGCTCTGTGACAGTGAGTTGATTGGACACAAGTGGACCCAGCTGCCACAGTTTCGGCTTGCGGTGCAGAGTTGCCCGTGGGCCCGGCGCCACTTCCGACAGCTCGGCTGAGAGCATGCGATCAGTTCCATGCCCTCAGCATACATTCAGAAAGTGTTCAGCTCAGTGAGTGAAAGCAAGGGAGGAAGAAGTTTTCGTACTGTGCGGTGCTGGCAGCTTGTGACATCAGGAAACATCCACTTTAAAATCAATGCACGCACCTTCACTTGCCTAACTCGGTTTGTTTGAGGTATAGTTCATCATGTTTAGTCTAACTTGCTTCAGCCTCTTTTCATGAAGAACTTGCGATTAAGCAAATGCGTTCTCGGTCCTTGGAGGCAAACAAACAGGGAATTTGGCATGTAATGGCAGATCTTAAGTGTGAATCCGTGTACCATGATATGCCAAGTCGCTCAGGCAATAGTGTAGCCGCTCCTGGTGTTGGCTTAGATTTAGCAGCTTGCCATTCGAGCTCCCCTTGCAATACACGGTCCTGTTCAACCTGTGCTGTACCTGCATGACAACGCACAACACGACCACAACCGAGTCTAGAGTCTAGAGTACCTTGCACGGTCCGTTTCCAAACACGGCACCAGTTGGAGCCTCTTCAGCTAGCAGCAACCCAAACTTGGGTGTAGGGTGTAGGGTTTGTGAATTTGCCTATCCCCCCAAGATTGAGCAAGGAGAATACCAAGAAGCTGGATGTGGCCTTCGACGCCAGGGACGTGGAGATGAAAATCAGCCAGGCCGGCCAGTCGTGAATATTGAGACACATTAAATGCTTCTACCGTTTACATAACATGTTTCAGTCACGTGCTTCAGAATCAAAAAGTTCGACCTGAAAGAGTGCAGCTTGATCCATGTTCACAAACATTATTCAGAAGCCTTCGTTGCCTTCAAGTGTTGTCGAGACAGACCCATTGACGCAGAACTGTCATGACACAACCCCATCCCGCACTCGTTGTGAAATTGCTGTTAGCTGCCCTGGCCTGAGTCCGACGTGGGAACACCGAGTCGACACCTCAAGTTTAGTCGAAGCTTCTGGCAGGAAATAGGCCCTTCTTTTCCTGCGATCGCTCTTAGATCCAGTCCAACTCAAGCCCGAAGGAAGTCTTGCACAAGAACGCCACAGGAATAACAATCTCGCGGTGCACTGTCATACCAAAACAACGTACAACAGTGACGACAAAAATAACCAGCGACATTTCCTCGAGCTGATAGTGGTGATGGCAAAATCTGGTATATAAAGCAGTGCATAAAGCAGTGATTACTTATAACGACCAAAGCTTCCATCTTCTTCATCATGAACCTGCAACATCATGTGGTACTATAGTACTGTAAGGCTGGGACGTACCCCACACGGTCTGCATCTTGCACTGGCGAAAAGCGCCAAGCACCTACAGTGTTGTTAATAAAGAGCTTCCCGGCTTTCCTAAACCCTAAACTTGTTATCAGAAACTCCTGCGGAATTCGCTGGAGCTAGAGGATGCCAGGGCATATCACTATCCGGATTTGGCTGCTCAGGGTGTGTGCTGGCCAGACGGAGTATGCTTTCAATCCCATAGATGGCAAGAGCTTCCCTCATCATCCGGTCATGCGACAGGCAGCTGTGGGACCATATTTGGTGGAGAGGGGCATCCTTACCGAGCTGAACGGTCTGAGGGTGCCTGTGCACTTTGACTGCGAGAACCTGTGCAACGTCAGCCAGTGGGAATCGAAATCCCGTGGCCCATCTCGGTGCCCCTATGGCACATATCGCTACTACCACTACTTACCCAGCCGATGGAACGCCTGCCATGAACACGAGGCATTTCTGAAGTCTGGCTTTTCGCATGTACATTTGCATCTGCCCGTGGTCGATGAGGAATACAGTGAGATGGTCGCAGTCTACCAGTCCGCCCTGCGAGCACGCATATCATTCAACATAATGGAACTTGGGGCGCGCTGGGCTCCTTGGGCCACACGGGCCATTGCCTTGCTCCGTCTTCGGAATCCCCTGCCATACCAGCTATTAGCTGTGGAGCCAGGGCGAGTGGAGTGCGCCGGCACGCACAGAGTGCTGAAACTCAATGGTATGCATGGACGAGTGTTGTGCACCAAGGCCGATGCTGCTCTCTTTCTTCGGCTCGTGTCCTCAATAGACCATCTGGATCTTTTGCACATCGACATTCAAGGAGAGGAGCAGCAGCTGCTGAAGGATCCAGAAGTGCTGGACGTTCTTGGGCGGAAGGTTTATCGAATTATTCTTGGGACCCACGCGGATTCTATTGACGACTACATGTTGCGCACTTTCAGACACTGGATCACGGTCCACTACCACCGTAACAGGGGACCCGGGTGCCTGGTGCGCGCTGGCATCTTTCGTGATATGTCCGAGCGCCCTGTGATGCTGCCGCCACCTGGGCCGGAGGCTTGGGCCCAGCTCAGGGCAGAGCCGGAAGAGCTTTGCTTCTACAATTCTCCTCAAGGCAGGGTCGCCAACATCGACGGAGGCTTCATTTTGGACAATCCGCGTTTTGTAAATGCCTCGCAAGTCTTTTCGCTGAACGATACGGATCTTCGTATAAGTGAACTGACGTAATCGACGGTGCCCTAGCTTCAGGTCTCGTGCGACTTTCCGCCACCCGTGGGCCTAGTGCGATTGCTCACACGGTGGTTGGTTTCGCTTTGGGGCACAGCTCAGATGCAGCATGATGCAACAGTGCAACCCTTGCCCGCCTAGTCGAAAATACGAAGCGGAGGCTGATACCATGCTGTGCTTTCCATTACTTGCAGGATCTCGGGATTAGTAAGTCGGGTTATTAGTTAAATCAGCAGGGATCTCATAGCTACATGTACATCTACTGAGCGCCCCCAATAAAATGTACTTACTAAGCTACTTGCTAAGTCCTGTACTCCTTGAAACGAGCAGGTGGAAGCCAAGCGAGCACTGCTGGCAGCCAGCGAAGAGACCCTGCCAGCGCAGTGGAGAGAGTTTCGGTGCCTATATCAGTTGTATATATCCCAACGTGTTCGGATGGTGTACGCCCTAACACCCTGAGCCATGAAATCCTTAAACGCCCGAAAGCCTGGAACGGTTCCAGTGGAACCTTTCTAGCCTTCTGAACCCTAATCGCCTTAGAGAAACTCTGCAAATTAAACGATGACCCGGCATTGCTAAAACCTTCGATCTAAGTATCGACCCGCAACATGGCTGCTGCAGCAAGGATCTACCGACTTCTGAATTGATTTTGCGGGTCCTTCCAATGCTGGTGCCGTACATCGTGCTGTTTGATGCAATCCCATGTGTTAAGCAGCTGAGCCACGACTCGGGGACTCATGCAGACTCATGCAGTCTATGTTCCTGGTGTTTCGCACGAGATCGCACGATGACGTTTCGGTATCCGCTCAGTATCGCGGAGCCCAGCCGAACGTGTGCCACGCACACTTTGCATTATTGTGTGTCGTGGCTTGTTACGATGCATGTACTCGACGCAAGATAAATCCCAATCAGCCACAGGACATCGTGACGTGGCCCGGCTGCACTTTTTGAGGTCAAGGGTTGACTGATTCGTAAACTTGTTTGCGGCTATGAACACAGTCAGCAAATTATGAGTTTAATCGACTCAGGGCGCACGTCTTGGTAAAGCCCTTCCAGCACCATTGGCTTTCTGCGAGAAACCAAGATTTCGCGCAGCGAAACGACCGAAAGGAACAGAGCAGGACTTCCAGGAAGTACTGTATACTTTAGTGCTTGTACATATTTCAGATTGAAGGTCAGCAGAATAAAGTCCATAGGAACACGTTAGGATCAGCCGGTTGCAATCGTCGTCGGAGCAATCGAAAATCTAGCAAAATCTAGCCCTATAGCATCCTATGTCCTTTTCACAGTCGCCTACAGAAAGCTCGGCCAAGCTAGAATATAATTGCATAATTACTGTTCTCAGGTGCAGATGTATGGCCTCGGAAATGATGGAAACGACTACTGGAGACAAAGCAGAGCCCCCAAAACTGTTGGGTTTATGTCTTTAGCCTTATATAAACAGAGTCCTGGATGCAAAAAGTTTATACAAGCTTGAGGGTAAATCCAAAAGTACAATCCGATGCTGTGACTTCTACGTCTTGCAAAGGCAACACTCCCTAGTCTGAACTAAAGAAGAACCTTAAAAATGCAGAAAACGCTAGAACATGTTGGAAGAACATACAAAGGCTAGATTTCGCATTGGCTCGGTACCCCATCAAACGAGTTCTGGATTGATGGTCACCATATTTGGGGCATGTGGCAGCAACTCCCATGCATGCCTGGACCATGACAGCCCATCTTGACCTAGTTCGTACATGTCGTTTCCAGATCGTTGGGGGAGTTGTGCCGGCCGATGGCGACTTGGAGTAGGTTCATTCGCAGAGTGACACACGCCCCCCCCAGGCCCGAGGCTAAAGAGGTCCAATAGAGCAGCTCGAATGTTCCAGAGCAAGCCCACGCACGCTGGCCCAAACCTGACAGGTGCCTCTTGCTCGCCAGTTTCCGTATATGGTCGGCTGAGAAGCAGAGACTGGGAGCAGGCTTTCTGCTGAGTCAGCAGGATCAGCCCGTCCGCTTCAGCAACACGTTTTGTTGAGTCCACAAGCATTCAACTGCATGCTTTCGGGCAAGACAGCGGTACCGCCTTTTATGTTGAAGGTGCTGATACTTGTTCCGCTGTGCGGTACCAGAAAAAGGCGCTTGAGCGGCTTACCTTTCTGGGGTTTTGGACAATGACCAGAGTCTGACCAAGAGTGTTTGGACAGCCTTCATTGATTCGGAGAGAAGTGCAACAGGGGCTTGGACCGGAAACTCTCTGTCCAGTGTCATGCCGTACCAGGTGTACCATTTTAACTTTGCACGAGCATCTCTACTGCATGTTAAGCTCATGCTGCCCTCGCAGCTTGTACGGATGCGATGCAGCTCACTTTCCTTCAGTTCATAGCCCTAGGCCATGACCGGCCGTGGCTAGTCTACTTCCTTTTTCAGAACCCCTCCACTGATACGGGTACAGGGACCATGTTTGAAATAAGTGCAGGCGAGAATCTGCGGCAAGACGCCAATGAAACTTCTCGCATGGCCTGTTCCTTCGACCCTGGAAGAACGATGTCTCTCACGACATCTGCCCGTGCTTGGAGAATTGACCATTCACAGCTGCAGAACGCGAAGCCAGAACACGGCTGTAGCATGGCTGCAGCCATTAAGGTGCAAGCACCTCCTTAGCCTGTGCTGGGACGAAATGCCATGGCCCGTTCACTCCGGCGTCCCGGAGCTTTGCCACTGCTGCTAGCTTGAACTTCAGAGCGTGCTAGCAAAGGTGTGACCCTAAATTTCAATGCACAGTCAGCGGAATCAAACTAAATCCAGAACCGGTTTAAGGTTCACCTTTGCACCACTTATGTTGGTTTCAGTGATGACGACGATTATGCTGGTGATGATGACGATGATGATGATGATGATGATGATTAATGGCACGTGGCTCGCATGCATGATGCCGCCCCAGCCACAAGATGTGGATGTGCTGACCAGTGTCCTTAAGTTTTCATCTGGAAAGGCGGTCCCTTCGACACAGGGGGAAATAATCGAAGATGAGCGTGTTCCATGCCAGAGGTAATTGCACAGACCGGAATGGAAAGAACTAATCTTGCAGGTAAGGCTTGTAGTACGTGTAGGCTTAAACACAGACCCCAAAACAGAGTGTCGAACAGATTTGCTCGCGAGGAATGCGGACGGTGCGCGCCAGGCGCGCTGAAGAAGCAAACACCAGTTTCGAGCATGATTCCTCTTCGCTTCCGTATGCTGATCCATATCAATACGGGCCCCAAACCCATGCATTGCTTTCATCACACAACCTTATACAAATACATCCGTGCGATCACTGTTGGAACAAGCCTTCCTAGCTAAACTCAAGGTCCCTGCTACAGCATGTCAAGCAATTTAGCTGCAATCTGGTATTACGTGCAAGGGCATAAAGCTTGAAGGGACCTCGGGGGCCATGTGTAAGGGACAGTTGGTTCTGTGGAAGCTGCGCACATCAAAACGCGTAAGGGTTCATTAGGGTCAAAGGTGATTTTAGAGGATGCTAAATTGCTCCACGGCCGAGTCTCGGAGATTCAATCTTGGACTAATGGTCGGCATGTGTGTCACGTTTCATATTTGTCGTAGAGCTGACCAAGGCGTCGTGATCTTGGCCTATGTCCTGCTGTCACGGTTGTCTCACGCAGCTTTTCCACTACAATTTTGTGAACATAAATAGCTGAGAAAGAACACGCCCTGAATGTACGTCCCAGAAGTTTGTGTCATGGCTCAGTTTCGTCCGTGTTTCTATGTGGCAAGGAGCGCAAACACACGTACAGCATAAGCCAATCGATGTGAGACCGAAGTACAAGTTAACAGAACAAGACGATGCTTTGTGTGGCCTTGCGCGACATGATGCTGCTGTCGGAGCTGCTGCCCATCCTGTCGCAGCCCTTCTGGAAGCACTGTGAGCAGATGGTTGTCGAGTTGCTGCGCACTGCCTGCTCCGATGCATGAGCAACCAACATGCCCTAGCCAAGCGAAGTGGTTTACGGCATGCTATGCGAAAGAGCAGGTAAGGCGCCATGTTAGTGCTCTAAGCCGGGTGAACAAAGACGCGGTTATTCCAGCTTGCAGGAGTTATGAATGTGTGCATGTGCTTCTAAGGTCACTACCGTCGGAGGTCTGCTGGACAGATGAGTATTCTGAGGAGCTGTGCTGCGATCGGCCTTGTGCTCAGACTGAAGGCCAGGGTTTGGGTTTTTCTTGAACAGCACGGTACGGGTACGGCCCGTGCGGCTTGTTGGGAAGCCAAGGAGATACGGACCGGAAGGGAACTCGGCTTGTTGGGCCGGAGCCGCTTGGCTCTTGCCACAGCCCGCGTCGGAAAGAGTTTGCGAGTTTGCTCTGCGTTGCAACAGACAAGGAGCTCACCTTTGAGGGCTGTTGCGGAGATGCTGCAAGAGATCTTCAAGAGGCCAGTCCTCCAAAGGTGGCATCGCTAGCATCACTTGCGCAGTTCATCTTCCATGCAGGCCGGCGATCTTCCGTTCAAGAACATGGAGACACAGGATTTGCATCCGCAGCCTCTCAGCCCGCAGTAGCGGTGCATAAAGCCTGTAGCTTTGCAGGCCCAGTTGCCATAAGGCCCTCGTTGTTGATCAAGTATGAGTGGCTTAGGATAGGCATCGGCCTGTTCACGACCTACGAGCCGGGCAAAGACTGCTGGACAGGAAGCTTGGCTTGGCAGTTGTTGCAAGGTCTTTCGTGTCTTATATCGTCTTTCCGCAGCAGCCTCGCGTGATGTGGTTCTTCGCAGCCAGATTCTCGCAATCGTTGTGGTTTCACTTCAGGTTTCAAACCAAATGCACACACATAAGAAGGTCTCATGGCTTCGCTTGACTACTCGTCCCCTTCCAGCACCCAACGGTCAGTCGAGCTGCACATGTTGCTTCGTCACAGTCACGGGCTCTGACGGCTTGGCTTGGGCTCCCAGGGGTACTGCCGGTCAACACCTGCCACTGCCCCCCACTGAGCAGGCATGAGTAAGATGTAGGGGTTCTGCTCCAGGCTTCGTGCTCAAACTGTATTGGTGTGTGCCATCCAGACTTGAGACTCTGCAGAGTCCTCTCGGCGCAAGGTGGCAATTCATGGGTCTTACGTTGTATGAGCCATGTGCCGAGTGCCTGTGAGGAATGGGTGGACTTGCTAGCCACGCCATGTGTTGCTGCTTGTCAACATTCATAGGTCCAGTGTTATATACCTTCATGATTCAGATTTTTTGCTGAAATGGTCAGGTGATCTCTCTGTGTCCGAATACGGCATGGGATCTTGTTGGGACGGCTGGCGCTACACCTTTGATCGCTGCTGCTTCCTCGGCGAGGCGTGCCCTTGCCCTTTGCAATGCCGCATAAGGGAGATCGACTTTGCATCCCAACTTAGGCTCCGGCATTCCGGCCACCAGCCGAGCTCTCGGCGTTCACAAGTCTGGATTTCTCTGACCTAGCGATGCCTGTTCAGAACCACAGGACCCTCGAGGCCAACACTGGAGCGGTACTTACAGACCCGAGGCGAAGCCGCTTCTACGGCTGCCCAAGGAACCAGCGGCACCGAAAGCGGGCAGGCAGGGACGCGAGTCCGAGCTGTGACCAGCCTAGAGTCAGGGATACCAGCGCCCCAATCCTCGAGACTTCCATGTTGGTCGCTTTGTTCAGAAAGGCCCAACCTAGGAAGCCTGACTGTTGAAAAGATCAATGGCGTCGATTCGCCAGAGTCCATTACTTGAGCTTCTGTGTGTCTGGCAGAGCAACAGGGGCTCTCATAAACATCACTGTTCGTCCGAGGAAAGAGAAGTGGAGCACGCTGCTGCTCTAGCGGTGTAGCAATAAGACTGCACAGGGCAAGCTGGTGCTCCTGCGACACGGAGAAGCAAAGCATTTGGCATCCAGGCGCATGAGCGGCAAAGCAAAGGTCAGCGCTGGACAAGCTGGCGCTCCAGCCCCAACTACAAATCAGTGCATGGGGCAAGCTGGTGCTCCAGCAAGAAACAGAAGCAATGCATGAGGCAAGCGGGCGCTCCAGCACGAAGTCGGGCATACTGGCGCTCCAGCAAGCGTCAAGTAACGGTGAGCCTACCACGTGTAGTTATACACAGCTCGGGGACTTGTCAGTGCGCACAGCTTGCTAGCACGGGCAGGTTGTGCTGTTTCGAAGACAAACTGGATTAGAGGGTCGGTCAAACAGATTTATCGGGTCAGTCACTTGTGGTCGCAAGGGGGCTTTTTCCGTTGCCACGTTCTCGCATGGCACCTTCATGATAAAGGCTTTATCACAGTCGCGAGCCATGCGAGCGACGGCATTGCAGCTGTTGAGTATTCGCTTCTGGGGCACAGCAGTTGAGGAATGGCGTGCTGGCACATGCACTGGTGTGCAACCGTTTTAGTGCCTGTGGTTTCCGCACATGGCCACGGTTATTGCGATGCATGCAAAAGTCAACAAGAACACAGTTTGCAGCAGGTAGCCTCACTGGTGTGCCTGAATCCCGCACTGCCGGCCTGGCATACTCTTCGTTGCCGAGCCTGCAGAGTCGTTCGTGCGAGCTCGAGACGAGATGCATGCATGGAAGCAGTTTTAGCAGCGCGAAGTGCAAGGAAGTGGGAGTCTTGACCAGGCAGGTTTACTGCAAAGCACATACTGAAGCCTGTTGAGAAACATGCAGCTAAGCTGTGGCTACAGTCACGCCTCTTTCGGAGACCCAACTCCCACTCGACCTCCCTGGACACGTCCTACAGGATGAGTTTACGGAAACCTGGTCATTGATCCGGTGCCACAACGCTTGTAGACCCAAAGCCCTTGGTTGTTGCGGCAAGACTGGCCTCAACCGAACGGCTCCAAATCCCCGAGGCTTAAGTTCCCTCTAGGCAAGGGCTGTTGTGGCAAGACAGACTTGCAAAGCCGAAACCACAAGTTCCTGTCAGGGACGTCGCTCGGCCTTCAGGCCCGCACAGGGACAGTGTCATGACTGGTTGAGATGTCGACTGTTTTGTAGCTAGATTTGTTGCATCCTGGCTAGGTGTGGAATGTTGGCAAAGCGACTTCACTTTCGCATACTGCTGTGCTCTGGCTGAAGTTGCCACGCAACCGAAAGTTGTCAGCATTCACGAGTTTTGGGTTGTTTCTAGGCTCGTTTCTTTGTGCAGCTAGTGGCGGGCACCATCAGATCCAGCTCTTCTCCATGCAGGGGCTGTCTGTGTTGCGCAATGCAAGAGGCTACAGCAATGAACTGCTCGTGGTGATCAGGTATGCGTGGGGCGGCTCCCTGCTGGGACGACCAGTTCACTCGAGCCGCCTGCTGTGATGGAATCGCTGATCCAGTGGAGGTTGTGCAGACTGCAAATTTGTACGTGCCTCCTGGCTTTCGTTCGGTCCTGTCAGGCTTGGAAGGTGACAGATGCATCGGATCCGCAGGCCATGTGCAATCACACTGAGTCTGTTGAAAGAGGTTGCCGCCCGAGGTGATTTGTCTCTTGCACACAAGGAATGTGGCTTTGGCACCTCTGTCAGCAAGGTTGCTGAGGATTTCGGGATGTTGTCTGTTGCAGCTTTAGTAAGGATCTGGAACAGACTCCGAAGCATTGTCCGAAAGAGCGCTTCTTTCTTCTGGCGTCGTTGGGCCCTCCGGTGACACCCGGCCGAGTGCGATGCATCAATCGTCATGTGAGCTGCAGGTTTCAGATGCTACACTTCGCAGATTGAGGTCCAACCTCAGGCTTTAGGTTCGAAGATGAGGTCGCAGGAGCATGCTGCAGTGAGCGTAGGCACAAGGCCGCAGATTTCGAGTATTGGCATCCTGATCCTCAACTATAGAGCATAGCCTTTCCCTTTGCTGCAATGCAGCTACCGCTAGTTTCAGTTCCAGAACCATAAGGAGGAAACCAAGCAAAAGATCTCAGGTCCCTTGTCTCTCCCTTTCTTGCCGTCTCTGTGTCTTTGCAAGCCTCCTTCCTCCCTCGTAGTTCCTAGGATCGAAGAGGACTGGACAGGGACACCCTGGTTCCGGAAGCCGTGGAGTGTGGAGGCCACGAGTAGCAGTTGCATGCTTTGCTTTGTGGGAGCTTGCGCATTGTCATGCTGTGTCTCTATGTCAGGGTCTGAAACGGGAATCGATGCAGCGTCTCCAGCCAGTACGACCTAGCAGGACTTAGCCGCACCCAGGAAAGAGCACCCATAATAACCTGTCCGGACTTGCTCTGCTGGGTCAGGACTTCCTTTGTAGGCGGCCTTTGTGTGCCAGAGCCATGCTCTTTGGAGGCTGGGCACCCACATGATATGCCGCAATCTGTAGAACATCCGCAGCATCACTTCTGCAGAGACGACGGCCGCTTACCTTGCCCCACGCGTTGTGCCTTGGTGGCGGGCTCCTCGACCGGAGCCGCAGCTGCTGAATGTCCCTCGGCGAGAGCAATGCGCCCGCAGACACCTGAAGCTCTGCTGTCAGCTCAAAGGAGACTCACTTTTTGCTGCCACCTCCGCTAGCCGCCAACCACAAAGTCTATCGATCGTCGCGGCTCAGCTCCACATGGACAGCACCTTGGCTGAGAAACCACCGTGTGTGGAGGCGGCGTCCAAGTCGGACCCAAGCCAAGGCTTGGGTTGCCCCGCGGCCCATGGATGCTGATGTTTTCGCTGAGCAGCTGCACGGCCCCCTGACACGATCCTCCTTAAGCTTGGATGTGTGAAGAAACCAAGTTGAAAGCGACAGGCTGGGAGTTTGCAATCCTCGAGTTGCTCGGATGCAAGCTTCTTCTCTACTCACGTTCTTGTCTGGAGAATGCTGAAATGAAAGGGCCGAACATCGGGGCATTTCGCAGTGCCGAGGCACGGCAAGTACATCAGTGGGAGCATCTCTGGTCTCATCACCGTCACACTGATGTAGCTTGTTTCAATTGACAACCATTGTTGGTTGGTTTACTGCATGCCAAGAGCCGTTCTAGTCTTGTGAAAACTTCAAAACCTTGTGAGAGTTTTGGGGATCTTGGCAAGGATTCTTGCAGCGGCTGCTGCTGGTCTTTTAGTCCCCAGGCATCTTGGTGCGAAGTACAAGACACACACAAACAAAAAACAAACACACA